ACATTTGTAATCTTCGCAAAAGCCAAATAACAGATTGAGTTGTACGCAAAAATTAAAGTATCCTTCCGATATGGTCGATGAAATGTCCCATCTTGCGTTTCGCAAAATTAGCGCCTTGTCATACGTCAGCGATACATAATTCTTGATTATACTGGTTATTCCGACGTTTCTGTTGCGTTCAATCTCCACACCATTGAGTTCGTATCGAATTTCATCAAACATAAATGCTACACAATTGTTCCCAAGAGTTGTTACTGATTCATTATTTTTCTTCGTTGTCGTCAATTTTCCTTCGACATAGAGAAAGCTTTCGCATGGCAAGATGTATAAATCTTGCTATTATATAGGTATTCTTATTTCATCGTTATGTCCAAACGTCGTGTTTGTGTACGGATTGTACGTGTGAGTCTCAATCTTGATGATGCGATCGTCAAAAACCGGCTCACTTCCAATATTTAAGATATCAATCATTTCGAACGATGAATCCTAATGATCTTAAAAATTTAACGTTAGATAAATTGAGTTTCTTTTTACCGTATGATTTAGTACTCTTAGTCGTCGCCTCAAAAATTGTGTCCTTTATTTGTTTCACCTGCTCGTTCAACACTAGCATTTCATTCAACACCCTTGTTATCGCTGTCGTCTGCGTATATGCAATCTAATGGTGATTTCCTCTCCGCGAAAATCGAGCAATCAGCCATCTTGATCCACAATGCGTATCGTTAAATCTGTAATGCTCCGTGCGATCGGAAGGTAAATGATTTGCGTCGGCGTTTCCGATATTTTATATCCTGGCGGCACGCTCGGTGAAAACTCATGTATCGTATGTACGCACTTGTCGTTGCTGTACGCACCAGCGGTCATATTGTATTCTATGCGAATAATATTTACGTTGACGATATTTATCGGTACGTCTGATTCGTGCCATTGTTGCGGCTCCAGCATACGATTCGACGAAAATCCAAGCAGCAGTTCAATGTTGTCAGATTTGACGAAATTTATTCGATAAGCGCATTTGATCTCGCTCTTCATCATATTGTTATTAGCTCGAATAATCAGTGGATACTCGTTTCTCTTCATCTTCTCTTTTGAGCATCTTCTTTTTCACAACATCGTTGAGACGAGGATATTGTTGTAATATTGCACGTTTTAAATATTTGCTTATGTCATGCAGTTCGTACGATCCTTCGGGAATGACAATTTTTTTGTCGTCTTGGTTAAAGTAAAATTTGTTATTAGACAATGTTACATTTGGTATTGCGTGGTACGTTTCAAAATCTGCCAGACTGAGTTCGTAATCACCATCGCTCAAATCTATGGCTGGAAAGTAGCTTACTGAGAGCAGACTATTCTTACCGATCAACGTAAACGTTATTGACATGATCAACGTAAACGTTATTGACATGTTTGATCGAATACTGACTTTATACAACGCAATGTCGGTTCTTAAATTAATTGTCAACTCTCTTCAGAAACTGCAGGCATAGTTATCCACAATTGCTTTGATCATACCGTTGATATGCTATGCGATTATATTCGATGTATGTCTTTTCTAAATATCGTACCAATTCCTTCGATGGTCGAAGATTGCTGAAAACTATCAAAATAAATAGCTCGATCCCTCCTCTTTGCATACGCTACCCAAAGAGTACCTGGTCCCTCAGCATTATTTAAATTTAAGATACCGCTCTCGTTTCGATGTACTCCTGTAGGTAAGGTAGTGCGCATAAAAACACCTCTAAAATACGGAATGCGCATACGCGTTGCCAATTGTTGTAATTGTACGTTGGTAGTTATATCTTTAGGAATTTTTAACGTCTCTTTGACGTTTTTTTTTTCTTGAAGAGGCACCTCGTCCACGCTTGTACGGAGCGAGATAAAGTCCATGATCTTCCATAGCACGATTATGACATTTCAAGTCTTCTAGTTGACGTTGCGCAGCTTTGTTATCATTCACTGCCTTGGCGACTCCCGCCGCTCCACCAACCAATGAACCGAGAACTCCCAACAATGGCAGGATAGGTAGGATATCACCGCGTTTCGCTACTGGAAGTATTTTTTTATTCATTGCTTTCTTCATTTTCAAACCCATGCCGATTTTTGTCTTGGCCTTCATGGCCGCCTAGACAGCTGCGGCGGCAGCTCTTTCACCCAGAGTCGAATCTCTCGCGGTGATGCGTTTTCGCGCTTTTGCGGCGAGTATATTGTCGGGTACGTGTCATTTAGCGAGATCGTTGCTTTGTGAGTAAGCTATATCGTATTCGCAGCACGCAGCATCTAATATATTAATTCCTCGATCGCCTCTAGCCAACTGTTTTTCTAAATGCGTTCCAAGACCGCAAAATTGATATCCGGGGATATGCAATTCGAAAGGAAGCGCATTTATCGCTCGATTTAACAGACCTCTGCCTCTCGCTGACATTCGTCACAATTCTTTATCAACGACGTCGGGCCGTCGATGTGTGTGCGTTGCCACAGTTGGTTATAATGTTCAACGCAGCGACAATAGGTTCGAACCTCCAAATCCGTCTTTATATGCTCGGGCAGCTTGTCCCACAAGAGATCTATGCAGTTTTGAAATTCTCGTAAAACAACTTTCGGTATATATTGTAACTGTTCGGATATTATATTGTAAATATCGTAGCTATCTGACACGAAACATTTTGATTACTGAGCGGTTTCGCTCCGTACTCCTCTATAAATAGATCCGCTTTTTCTACACCGTTTTCAGTTATTGTCATTGTAAGGAAACAAAATGCAATTCGTGCGACAATCACAGACGATCAGAGTGATTAATTTAGATGATAAAGTACAACTTGAAAGGAAAACACGCATGGAAACATGCTTCCTATTTCTATACGTGGTATCATATGTGGACCGTCAAATTGTAGCAAAACAAACGTGTTGATAAGTTTGCTGGAGAGTCCACACGATGTGCGCTTTGAAAACGTTATTTTACATTCTCCAATAATAGCGACATCATTTCACCGAGCGAAGCGCTTCCGAATTCCATCTTTATCTTTGATGATGTGGCATGCGACAAGCAAGATATAATAAGAGAGTACTTTGCAATGGGCCGTCACGCTGACGTCGATTGCTTCTATCTCTGTTAGACGTATGCAAAGATACCCAAGCATCTTACTCATATACGCGACAACGCAAATCTGTTGATTCTATTTAAACAAGATGATATCAATCTAAAACATGTATACAACGATCACGTAAACACTGACATGTCCTACGAGGATTTCTGTGAATTGTGTCGCAGTTGTTGGCAACAAAAATATGGTTTCGTAGTGATAGACAAAGACAGCACGCTTGCTAATGGACGATACAGAAAAGAATTTAACAATTTTGCAATACTATAATGTTATTAGTTGTTATTGATACGTCGACTAGACAACGTTTACGAACATGGATAATAACGAGGAGATTAAAGATCGCGAGAAGATAGTAAAGCAGATTGTGAAAAGCGATTCAATTCGCAAGAAGTATCGCACCTTAAAAACGGGTAAGATGGAAGAGGATATTGCTTTGGAAAGACAGTTCAAACCGATTGTCGAACCTTTGATTCAAATTGTTGAAAATACCGACGGTGAAGAACCTAACTATAAGATGGAGTCTAACGTGACAAGGGAGACAAAACGAAAACGGTCGCAAAATTTAATTCACTGATAACTTCTACTCTACGAAAACGATCAAACGCTTTATCGGACGTATCAGTGATGACCTCTGTTCCGATTAATGTTCCGATTAATGATGTCACACATCATGCAACACCATACCACCATCATGAACAGCCTTCGAACAATATTTTACCTGTCGAAGATGTTTTCGAAACTACCAACGAGTCACTGGTGAGGTCTGTTCGACATCAGTTACAAACCTCGGAAGATCTAGAAACGTTGCAAAATCATTTCAGTCCACTAGGACAAAAGTACAGTTTGGAGCTGTTTTAACCGGAAATAAGGATATAGATAACGTTTATGGTGTTTATTTTACCAACGATGGATTGATGCTTGATGATAAGCGTTTCGATGTAAGCAAAGATGACAATGTATTTATAAACGGAATAAGATATTTGGGAACGGAAGGTCTTTACGAGTTAATTTTTAAAAAAATATCTGACGATGAATTGTACACTGAAGAAGATAAACAGAAATACAAAGATATTTTGCTACTGACAAACGCGCATAGAGGTAATCATAATATGCTTAATCCAGTTATGGGTAATAAAGGATACAAATACAAGTATGTAATCGCACCCCTTCTACCTCAAAAAGTCGGAAGAGATATACCACGTGTCATGACACTAAACGATAATGCCATCGATTACGTGCATTGGGATGATCCAAATGAACTTGTAGATCGTCTCCGATTACTCGAGGCTTCGCGCCAAGCTGGACACAACGCTCACGACAACGAGATACAATCAATTGATGAGGAAATTGTTGAAGCTGATCTCATTATAAATTGAACCGCATCAAGGAAATGAGTTATTTAACAAATGTCGAAATGCCAATCAACAAGTTTAGGACATCACTTGGAAGAAGTGGAGCAGGACCATACTACCAATGGAGTGGATTAGTCAGAAATTACGTGCGCGATAACGCTCTTTGCGTGGTCGCAGCCGACTTTGATGCAAAGTCACGCAAAATTCGACGTGTAGCGTTACCGGTAGATGATGGCAATATTGTAAACAAACGATACGTGGAACTTAGTGTACAAATTTTGAAGGATCGACAGAACGAAATTGAGAAGAAATTGATTGCGTTCCAAAAGGACGTGCAGATTATTTTAAACGAGCTTCGACAAATGATGATTACTCATCGCACCGAGAGTACGTAGATAAAAATATACACCAAATTTTGTGTTAATTGCATGTCGTGATGTTCGAGAAGAAGAAAAATTCTGAGAAGCAATGGCTAGTGGAGAAACTGCACGCTCCGGCGAGAAGAAATTTTCCACGAAGACGTGTCATAGTACGCGGGTACGATGACCTATGGCAGGCAGATGTAGTCGAAATGCGACCTTATACGCGATTCAACAAAGGTTACCACTATATCCTCACTATTATCGATATGCTGAGCAAGCACGCATGGGTCGTACCGCTCAAGACCAAGAGTGGAGACGAAGTTGCAAGAGCGATCGAAAAGATAATTCAAGACGATGGAAGATGTTCGAAAAATTTGCAGACTGACAGAGGAAAGGAATTTTATAATGCAAATGTACAAAAAGTCATAAAGAGACACGATATTAATCACTATTCGACATATTCTGTAATGAAAGCATCAATCGTCGAACGATTTAATCGCACGTTGAAAAATGACATGTGGAAGATGTTTACTCATAATGACAATTATAGATGGCTCGATTTGTTATCACGTCTCGTCTCGGCGTATAATACGCGAAAGCATCGAATTATCGGTATGCGACCCATCGATGTTACCCCCGCAATCACAGACAAATTCTTGACCACAGTGTATAATCACATAAAAATTGCTGCACCCGCACGATTCAAAGTAGGTGATTCGGTACGTGTGAGTAAACTTAAGACAATATTTGAAAAAGGTTATACACTAAATTGGACCACGGAGGTGTTTAAGATCATCAAAGTTCAGAAAACTAATCCCGTGATGTATCTATTGCAAGATTCATGTAGAAAATCAATCGCTGGAGGATTCTATGAATAGAATTCTACGAATTGCATCGCGTTGTAAATCCCGACGTATATCTCGTTGAAAAAGTATCAGGCAAAAGGGGAAACGAGGTTTATGTTAAATGATTGGGATTTGATAATTCGCACAATTCATGGATACACAAAAGTAACGTGTTGTAAAATAAATTTAATACAAGTTTCTTTATACATATATTACAATTTATTATAGAAGTAAATGAATTTTTATTTACAATATATAAATATATATTATACAAAATAAATGAGTTTTTTATTTATAAGATATGTATTATAATGATATTTTATAATGTCCCCATGGCAGTGTGTCGGTAGAGTCGGATACAATATCGTTTATCATCGTACGGACTTAGAGCAATTTTTGTTTCGGATATCGTATATACTTTATGCCATTTTGATCTTATACAAGACTGCTGTCGTGTTATTTCAGTCTCGTCTCGCAAATACTGTGTGTAATCATCAAATGTTATCAATTTTGTTACTACGTTACTCTTGATGTCTTTCACTTTTTTCGTATCATTTTTTCCATCAACACGCAAGGCGTACATTTTTGCTCTAAGCCCTACGAATTTAGTCATAATTGCACCATTGTTTTCGTCCTTCATCAAACTTGGTATCTTTTTATTAGCAAGTGGAATACCGTATACATTATCAACCGCATAATCACTCGTGTCGAATCTTTCAATCACGTTTCATGATATCGTAGACGTAGTCGCACTCGATGTGATATACAAGACTGTCTGTGTCGGTGTACATGATTTTACATCGCGATACAGCGGTAATATATATTCGTGATGAAATTCGTACAAGTAGATTTTTGATATATCGAGTATATACATACCCACATAAATCGGCTTGTTGAATTTTACCTCGAGTTTACGCAGTTTGACGGCGATTAAATTTTCCGCAAAGACGCTGCGGCTGTGGAAATTTGGTTTCGCGATCATTGCCTCCGCACCGTATCGTCCGTCCCATTTCGTTATCAATTTTACATACACGTGATTCCGGACATTTTCCATCGTTTTACCGAATACCGCGTTGTTCATTAATTTGTATACATTTTTTTCAAAATCGTTTTTCGCGCACATTCTAAGCTATGTATTAAGTTCGATGTAATCGCGGAGCCAGGTGGATTGAGCAAATTGTAGTACGCGGTGTATCTTTGCGATACGAAGACCGTGGCGCGTACATTGCTGCAGGTTACGATAGTGGATGACATATCGCTTTTTGTCATATCGCGAGAAGTTTATTCTGCCGCGTGCCAGGTGGTTTATCGCGCGTCGGACAGAAAGGTAAGTCAGTGTGTCGGTCGTGCAGATGCGGATACTCGACCTCGAGAATATAACCCGTAGACGAATCCGGAGCGATCGCGCTGGCGTCAAAGTTCGCGATGTCTTCAACCCATCGAAATTTGGCATAGGGCAGCGGTTGACACATCGCCCATCCGTATAAATTGTTCACGTCGTAGTACATCAAATACGACGACGGTTTCGACGGGTCGTACGAATGCATGTACTTGTTATTGGCCTACGTGTATCTGTTGGAACATTGACTGAGGCCGCGTATACCGCGCTCGATAAACATAACCATATCGATGTCGGTGAGCAACTCAAATTTTACACGCGTATGTTTCAGCATGGCGTCCCACGTGAAACCTGGCAATGTGTAGTAATGAGCGGGATCGAGACTGTAACTTTTGATACAACTTTCACAGAAATTTTCAAAAACGTCGGCCAATAACAAGACATCAGTCTTCAAATATAGATCGCTATATTCGCCTAAGGTTTCAATAGAGAACCGCTGCCAGATGTTCACGGCGTGCGCGTAATCATTCTCCGACATTGTGTTACCGGTCAACGAGCTATGATTCGCACGATGGTAGGCGCGTGTCCTGCAGCTTGTCCGCGCGATCCACGTATTCATAAGGAAAGACACCTTTACGCATCAACAAATCAAAATCCTCGTTCGATAACGTGGAAAATTCGGAATGTAAAATTTTCAATTTTTCTCTACTTAAAAAAGATGTTAATTTATCGAGACTGGTACTCAAAAATTTGTACGAATCGATGAATCATAATTGTACATAATTTTGCGAATCTGATCTATCTTTGACATGTTAATGAATGAAATATATTTTTCCTTTGTTATCGGCAGCACATCAATTTTGCCTTCGTACGCCGTAGCTATTTCTGTGATAACAAAGTGCGCGTCATAACCGGATAAATTGTGAAAGACTACAAGAATGCAATATGATTTTTTATAGTTTAGATTGCAATTCGAATGTGCGAGTCCGCGGTAACGACCGGTAAAGTGGCAATGATCACGTACCCGCGTGTCGTCCGACGCAAATGATTTCTCACAAATGTGACAACGCGTCGCGCTACGGTATGTCTCCCACTGATCTCTCGATAATGTTTCCATAGGGACATTCGCGGATAACAAAATTTTTATTTGATGCGCCAAATTTTCGAGTTGCCGAACGAACCATGCAACGCATGGTTTTGCCGCGACGAAATTGATACGCCGATAACGCATCGTCGTACGAGCATCGCACATAATATCCTACGCTAAATACCTTGTGCTGCTGTTGATATGTGTACGACGTGTTTTCTCTTTCCGGCTCCATCCTTCGCAGTGTACATTCAAGATCTGCGTAGATGATGAATGGAAATCGTTCTTTGTTGCAGTAGTTCTTGAAGTCGAGCCACTTGTCCTCATTCGGCAGTCGGATGGCGCAATCGTTCATCCGTTCGCAATCCATCATATGCGATTCCAATTTCTCGGATGAATTAAAATAATGTAAACATCTGCAAACGGAAAACATGATTTTTTAGTATTTTTAGCATTTAAATTAACAATTATAAAATATTTTACATATTTTACATATTTTGTTAAAAAATGTGCATACGTACCGATCACAAAAGTAAGTAAAAGTAAAAAATATTTCTTGTGTTCTTTTTTACTTAGTTGCGAGTTCACAAGACGGGATAAGTTTTTGATATACGCGAAGTGCCCATTATCGTCACGCGGATCCTGCACGTACAACAAATTTGCATGTTTCTCCATCTTCTTTGTTGTCAGAAGTATTGAGAGAATCTCCTTTTCCTTGATACCTTGATGGTAGACGTTGATAGAGATTTCGTTGAGATGTTCAAACTTTTTAAATTGATTCAACGTCATCGGAAACGTAATGTCTTGGAGATTTAACACCATCATATAATGTGGATACGATGATTCCCGATTTGTATGCCTTTCGACCGGATGCAAGGCCGCGACCACTGACCATGCGAAACACGCATTGTCCGTTGACTTGGCACGTTAATTACCGCTCTCTTTAACATAATTTCCCGCGGTAACTTGATGTAACACCCCGCGTGCATGGGATTATATTTATTAACATTAATTGTTAAATTTAATATACGTGATAGCGCCCATCCACTGTCGCGTTCTTGAAATTCTTCGAGCGATGCCAACGTAGGTTAGATGACGTGCTGCTCGTACCACTCATCCACATTTGACACTCGAAAGAGTTCACTATTTTTAGTATTTATACTTTTATTGGCGCGTTTATCGCCCGTCACAAACTCGCCGTTGAACGCGGTGTTCACTTTTACATTATCGTGTCTTTCTATAATGTCTCGCACTCGTTCGAGCACTACACCACCGGCATCTTCCAAAAATCGTCGCGGCTCGATATAGTTCACGTTGATCACCGCACCAGTCAATATATGGCTTTCAAACGCCGTATCAATCTCGTGCCAAACGAGAGATCCATTGTCTCTACTGGTGCTCGCGTACTCGCCACCAACGTGCACGAAACGTCTTTCTAATTGTACCTTTGCATCCGCGAGTCGTGCGATCCTCGCCACCACAGATTGTCTATTTGCAACGGTGAGTCGAGGACGCTTAACACGACTAAGTTCTTCGAGTTGTTCGATACACTCGTCGCATTGTTGCAGCCACGCGAAACACTCCACCAAAGTAGCGACTTGGCTGCATTGTTCTAGCAGCTCGCGTTCCACTCGCTCGAGATGTTTCATTTTTTATACTATGTCCCACGAAGCACTTGCACTTGCACGTGATTTATCCATAATATATCGTCGTATCCATAATATCGTCTTTTTTACGCGGTGCAAAATTGGGCACATGTTACATGACATTATTATATATACGGACTGACTGCAATTGGAGCAAAATCGACCGTTTAACGCATCAAGAGTATTTATCTCATGCTTCCTAACGGCATACATTATTCCAATGTCAGTGTCCGTCAGACGAACTATGCATTCGGCACATATAATTAGAGCACCACCCGTCGAATAATAAAATTGAATTGTGCAATGTTTTCTATTATTATTCAGTACAAGGAATTCCGAACGCGTAACAATTTTCTTTGCATAATCTGTTAGCTCCTCACTCTGATCACTTATGCAATCACTGTCGTCAGATAACGCGTGCTCATCATCTTCAATATCAATATCAATGTCAATATTTCAACATTCTCAATTTCTTCTTCTTCATCTCCCCACACGTCCATTATATTCGCGATGTCTTCCATGTCCATATTTATCACATTCAATATTCGCACCGTCAACTATTTTTTCACACAGTATCGCGATCGATATTCGTTTCGAGACTTCCGAGATCTACTGTGATTCCGTGTGCCCAAGGATCTACTATATATATATTGTCTATAATTTCATTGTCTCTTTGTCGAACTCGAAGCATGGTCATAGGTTTTCCGAGTCATAATTTTGATTTTTTGTAGCAGTCCAAGTTTTCCCGTTTTTTTTTCTCCGATAAGAAGATTCGATAGAAAAGATTTGATGACTTTTTTTTTAAAGAGCTTTTTTTTCAAGCATAACTTGAAAGTTACAGTTGGAATAATATCAATCGATATCCGGAAATAGTTTTTTTCAACATAAAAAGAAACTTGGTATTTATGATGGAATTATTTATCGGTGTAACATCGATAAAAAATCGTATTCAGTTTTATAGTTTCCGTTCCGTGTCACTGTTAAAATTTATTTGGCTCTTACGTGAAAACTTGGACTTGACCAAACAGGAACGAGCATGTTTCAATATTTATTATTAGGAAAAAATTAAGAGAGAAGAAGTGTCCATTTACCGACTTATTTTTATTGAATAATGGATTTTTCGAGATTGTTTGAAATTAATTCGTTACAACATGTACATTTCTTTAGCAGCCGAATTATTGGCGCTTTTCTTATCATGCTGTGACACGTACAATTGTCAATGCTATTTTTTTTAAATCGGGACATCATTATAAATCTTCCGAATCGCAATTTGTTTAGGTACATTATTTTCATTAAATAACGGATTTTTCGAGATTGTTCGAAATTAACTCGTTGCAACATGTACATTTGTTTATAGCAACCGGATTATTGGCGCTTCTCTTAACATGCTGTGACACGTACAGTCGTCAATATTTTTTCTAAATCGGGACATCATTATAAATCTTCCAAATAGCAATTTGTTTAGGTACATAGCAGCTGGAATATCGGCGCTTTTTTTTCCTTTTTTTTCCTACGTCAATTTCTACAAAAAATATCTTTTCTAGCAGCTCTTCCTAGACAAAAAAAGACCCCCTTCCTCCTTCCTCCTCAAAAGTACATTCCAAAGGACCATCGACAAAGCATTCCCCCTTCCTCGTGCCTATCAGTTATTCCCTCTCCTTTACCCCCGCGTCCCCGAGTTACCCCGCACACCCGCACCCTGCTCGGAGCTCCTGGGTTAGAACCGACCTAGTATACCTACTATAATGTTCAATACATCATCATTATCTTTTACACAATTTTGCGTTTCTAAATGTTTAAAAAATTTTGTATTAAACTGCTTTTTAAAGGCACACATGAATTGTACAGGTCGGATTGGAACAATTACCTTTGTCTTGCTGTCGAACAGAACTAAAGAAATTTTCAATACAATCTTGATTCAGTCTGCGTGTTTGAAGATATGGAAAATTATAATTTTGTAAAATTTGTCAAATTTGAATTATACTTTTAATAGTGATTTGCCAGCATTCAAAGCATTTTACTTTTATATATGTATTATTACTTTTTAATACTTTTTAATACATTTTAAAAAGTATAACATTTGTTCCAAAAATTGCATTTGTTTTTCATTTCCGGTGAAAACTTTATCATATTCTTTTGGATTATTTATCGAAGACAAATTTAATATATCAAACAATTTATCAAAATTATCGATTAAATCTATAGTTTCAACAGCTTCAGTTGGAAGAAGACATTTGTGTACACATACGCAATGGCAGCTACATGATTACTAAAAACTTGTACAACATATTTAACTTTCATTTTTACAAAATTATTTGATTCAATATGATTCATTAATAATTTCGGAGCTATTTTAATCCATTGTTTACTATCTCTTTTATAAAAATCTATATATGAGTCCATGAAGCTGTTTTATTATTAATTTGAAAATTATGTTTTAATAGATTATTTCGCGTTGCTTTTAATAAATATGGAGTATCAAAAATATAAAATATGTTTTCATCATCAACTACCAAACTTGTATTATCTATAGAAATATTTAATTCATGTGATAATTGAATAAAATTTGAACCCATGTCGATAATTAATGCATGCACGATACCGCCACTGTTTTTTAATTTAATTGTAGTATTAAACAAAAGATCTTTCAATATTTTACTGGAGTAGACAGTCTATATAAAACAAAAACAAACAGATAGTTTCCAGTTGCCTAACAATGTTACGTGCCATTATATTAAATCACTTTTTGCAGGTAAGCTTGATTTTGTATCATCAGTATCTTCAAAAGCAATTATTTCATCACTAGATTCATTATGAAAAAGATGAGCTTTCAAACTCATTTCATCTGCACACAATATGCAATGACACTCCATAACTGATAATGAGTTTAATTTAACTTTAAGTGCTTAAAAAATTTTATTATTTATTCCGGGTACAATATTCCACGTTTCTGTAAATAATTGTAGAGAACATACCGAAAGCAATGCAATTGATTTTTTTTAGTTCTCTATAATTTCGTGGACTTACGAAATATAATGATAATGTAAACTTTTTAAATTCACGGTTATATCTTCTGCTACGTTTGCTTCTGCATTGTGCTTCAATTTGAGCAGCTAATATTTTATAAAAACTATTAGATTGTAATAACTTACAACCTAATTTTTTCAAGTAGTCGAATTCGTCCTCTTCTTTAGTTGGATTTTTTTTGGTATTCTTCTTGTCCAATCGAAGACGTCATATTGTTTCTTACAATTTATTTTGTGTCTTCAACTTTGCGATTTTCATACGCAATTTTTTCTTCCTGAACTCTTTCTCTGATTCTCTGATTTGGATTTTTTTTTCTTTTCCTAGTTGATATTCTTCGATAGTATTCTTAGATGTACTCCTAAAATATGTTAAAATTACAATTAAGATTAAAATCAAATATAATTATTTATTTAAAAAATTTTTAATTTCTGAAATTTTAGATAATAAAAATTTAAAAAAGATTATTAATAGATACAAAAATCTAGTTTTGCTAAGATTTGTCATTGATTATTTTTAATTTAGTTTAAAACTTATATTCGCCTTATCACATTAATTGTTTATAATGCAAATATGTTAAAATAAATTTCCTTACAAAAAAAAAATGAATAGCAATAAGATATTAAATAAAATATAAGATTATAAGATTATAATATAAGATTAAAGAATTAAAACATACATATTTGCAAATT